AAGAATCATATTTTTATTATGACGAAAGACTATTTTTTTTTATTTAATATACCACATCTTCTTCATGAAAAAAAAAGTCTCAAAGAATCTCCTTTGCTTAGTGTTTATTGTTTCATGACATGGGGGGGTTTAGTTCACATTCAGTGAAGTGCTATTTCCTACCCATTGGTTTTCAAAGATGAGGAAAATAAGAGGAATATATACATTGTATTCATACTTTAGATGTACAGCCACTGCTTAATAAAATTGTTTATTAGCATACACACAGGTTCAGTGAATTCCAGTGGATTAAGTTGCTTATTTTAATAATTATAGAAGTTATTCTAGACTATAAATTAGATACATTCAGGCAAAAAACACTAGGCAAATAAGATTTAGTTAAAAATTGTAACTTTAGGGGCTGGAGCAATGGCACAGCGGGTAGGGCGTTTGCCTTGCACGCAGCTGACCCGGGTTCAATTCCCAGCATCCCATATGGTCCCCTGAACATGGCTAGGAGTAATTCCTGAATGCAGAGCCAGGAGTAACCCCTGAGCATCGCCGGGTGTGACCCAAAAAAGCAAAAAAAAAAAAATCGTAACTTCAATAAAAGTTATGACTGAAAAAATTAATGGCATATCTTGTGGATTATGCCAATATGTCTTTTTCAGTGATTGCTTTGTATCCTATAACTAATTTGACCAGGCCCAATTATTTGCCTTTTCAATAAAAATAAGGATAAAGTAAATATCATGTTTCATATTATATTTCTCATGTTAATTAAATGTGAGTAAATAAATAAATTCCTATCTTTATAATTTGCTGGCTGAAAGTATATGTGCATTTTGGCAAGTGTGCAAAATTATTTTCCTTAGATCTCAGATTGTTTCAGCGTTAATTTTTGCATCTTCAAACTGATTGAAATGGTTTTTATTTATATAATTATATAACTCAATATTTTAAAATATTTTTTTATTTTTAGTTAGGACACTGTGATTTACAAAATTGATAATATTAGTTTCAGGCATATAATGTTTCAACACTATCAAAATCAATAATTAACCTAATTAAATGAATGAAATAATTTGGTATTTGACAGAATATAAATTACCAAACAGAAGTCAGTAGCCTTCTTATTTTCAGGTAATAACCAGTTAAAAGATATAATGAGTCTGTTGACTGAAATTAAAGATCTCAATGAAAGTTAGCTGAAGAGTTTATGAGATAATTAAAGTGGGGATTCAAACCTGGGAACAGATTTTTCCCTGGAAGCTGCTCCACCACTTACAAGTTGGAGTGAGATGATACTTTAAGAAAAAAGAGAATAATCCATTTTTGACATCAAACTGTATAGAGATCAAAAACAGGAAGTTCTCACAAGGCTTCTAGTTTTTGTTTGTAGGGTTTGAAGTGTTGAACTTTTGCTGATTGTTCTGACTTAAGAATTCTGTTGTTACTATATATATGCATATATATAAATATATATATCACTGTATCACTGTCATCCCCTTGTTTTTCAATTTATTTGAGCTAAGCACCAGTTTGGCAGGGTGATACCATTTCACCAAAACTCTTCAATGCCACCCTCGAGAACATCATGCGACGACTGGAATGGGAAAGCATGGGAGTGAAGATAGATGGTTGGCAACTACACCACCTCTGCTTTGCTGATGACATCGTTCTAATAACAACAAACATCAGCCAAACGGCACAAATGCTGAACAACTTTGACCATGAATGTGGAAAGGTCAGACTAAAGCTGAATCTTACGAAGACAATGTTTATGAGAAACAGCCTTGTTCCTGACGCTCCATTCGCTCTCAACGGAACCACCATCTCCGAATGCAACATTATATATACCTAGGTCGAGAAATCAACATGATGAATGACCTGGCACCTGAGTTGCACAGGAGGAAGAGAGCGGCTTGGAATGTCTTCAAGAGCATTGAAGAAATAACTAAAAGGACAAAGAACCTCCAGCTACGAGCACATCTCTTTGATTCCACTGTTCTTCCTGCATTAACATATGCCTCAGAGACCTGGACCCTACGAAAATAGGATGAGAACTCTATTCGGGTCTCTCAAAGAGGAATCGAAAGAGCTATGCTTGGAATATCACGATTCACTCAAATGAGAGATAGAATCCGGAGTTCTGATCTTCGTCAACGCTCAAGAATCAGGGACGCTGTCTCATTGCCAAGACATCAAAAATCAGATGGGCTGGACACGTAATGAGGTTTACAGACAACCGCAGGACTAGAGCCATTACTGATTGAATTCCACGGGACATCAAAAGATCACGTGGACGCCCACCTACAAGATGGTCAGACTTCTTCGTCAAGACCCTGAATGATCGGTTTGAGGCTCTGCATGTTCCTAAAACAAACAGATACCATTGGGCTACGCTAGCACGCAACCGGGATGAACGGAGACGTTACTGGCACCCGCTCGAGTAAATCGATGAATAACGGGGATTAAGTGTGCTTTCACTTAGGTGATTAAGTGAAAGCACCAGTAATGTGTCTATTTGTCCCAGCCCTGAGATTTTAGCAGCCTCTCCTTACTCATCTTTAACAATGATTGGAGGCTCTCTCAGGGTCAGGAAAATGAGATCTGTTATAGTTTAACTAGTTTTGGCATATTGAATATTTCACAGAAAGTTTGCCAGGCTCTACCCATGCGGGCAGGAAACTCTTGGTAGCTTGCCAGTCTCTCAGAAATATATGTATATATTTTTCTCTAAAATATATATATATACTTCACAAAAAGTATATATATGTATGTCTTTCACATATGAAGAGATGCTTGGCCTTACATATAAAAAGAAAAATGCAAACCCAAAACCAAAATCTTTCCTGAGCTACCTTTCCTCCTACCAGTGGGCAAAAAATTAAAAGGCTTAGTTCCTTTAACTAGCAAGATTGCAATGAAAATGGATGAAATCCACATGCATATGGAAAGGGGAAAATGGCAGTGTTGTCCTATACTCTTTTATCAATACATATATATTGATATAGTCATGTACTAATATGTATTGTATGTATCCACATACTGTACAATACACTATATATTTTGCACATTCTCACGTATACGGGTCTGTGTGTATGAACTTTTAATTTCATCTTCAGTGAGATGCCTTTGGTGTCACTGTTCAAATGCAGTGGCAGCCCTTACAGTGCAGATGGTGGTTTCTAGATTGTCATATTCTACTTTAAGGATCTGGGTTTTGGAGCAAAAACATCTTATTCCAGGGACAGAGAACCCATAACCTGAATCTCATTGTCAGGCAGCATCAAACTTTGAGAGATTCTACAACAGTCTCTCGATACCGGTATGAAAAATATAATCAGCTCTCTCCTTTGCCTGTTTTCAGAGTAGCCTGCGCATAGCCAAAGCTTTCATCTGTAAATGTGCAACCTGACTACTCTGCCCTCTGACTCTTTTAGTAAACCGCCTTGCTTGGAAATAATGTTCCTCCCTTTGGGAGAAGGAGGAGAGGGAGTGGGAGGAGAAGAATGTAGGACACCAAAGACTGGGTGCAAGCTGAGCTAGCTTTGGAAGCAGTTGGTCAAAGGAGAAATTGTTCCTGCAGATAAGCAGCCATTGTTGAGGCAACTTGATTTTCATCACCGAGGCTAGGGAAGTGGAGAAAGATGTGAAAGACCCTCAGTGGGAAAGTTATCAGTTCTTTCTTTTTTTTTCCCTTTCATTCCTTTATACCTTTCTATTTATACCTTTCTATGAGGGGGTCTCATCCACAAGTGCTGGGGAGGGCCACAGTTGCTCCTAGGCGGCACAGAGTCCTCTGATGAACTAGAGTCTGGCCTCTGTACTCACTTTCTTACTTGACCCACATGCCTGCCCCCAAACTCTCAGTTCTTCATGGTCTCTTGTAATAATGATTTCAAGGCTTAAGTTGATAAAAATCAAATTAATTTTCCTTTTTTAATTGAATGTCAATTAAAAACATTTTTTCCTCTGATAAGTTTTGACTCCATTAGAAGTGAAAAGTAAATGTGACCTGTATTAATACACTGACAGGCCAAATAATTCCAAGAGGGAACTAATTTGTGTGTGAAATGATAGTCTGGAAAGTCTAACGGAATTCTGTCATTTGCTCTTCTGTCCTTTCCTTTCAATTTTGACTGCTTGAGGACAAGACCTGAAAGTCTGAGCCCATTACAACACTCCCATCTGCTTTCTTGAACACGAATTGTTTTGCCAGAAATGGGTTCTGAAATAGTTAAGAAAGGCCAGAGCCATAGTATAGGAGGCACTGCATTTGCCTTGGACGCAGTCGGCAAGGGTCCAATCCCCGACATCCCGTCTGGTCTCCAGGACTGAGTCCTGAGTGCAGAGCTACGAGTAAACTCTGAGCACTACAGGGTGTGGCCCCAAAACAAAAAAGTTCTTTAGAGAGGTCTTTAAAACTCGATAGTTTAGTGTTTGGGATGTGGCGTGGCTCAAGGGTAGAACACGCCTTGCACATAGGAGCCCCTGACACTATAGACAAACCAAACAAATCATCATTGTTCAGAATCTCCTGTCAGAACTGGATAACTGGATTCAGATTCCGACCATTTGCCTAAAAAAAAAAAAAATTAGGAGCCTGAAAAAAAAATTTCAGACTGAAAAAAAAAATTAGGGGAAGGGGGAGGCGTCCATCAGTGATACGTCCTAGCTATCAAGATAAAGGGATGTGGAAAAGCTTCAAAATGCTTTGAGAACCCTGCGGAGTGCTTCAACAAATCTGCTGCTAATTTCCGCAGGCCACATGGGCCAGTTCCCCGAGGGAAAGCGAAGCGAAGCTGGGAAGCTTTTGCAGGGCGCTGGGCAGCCGGGGCCCCACGAGCTCGTCTCGGCTGGCTCCTCCCCCGCACCCCGGTCAGCCCGGGAGCTCGGCAGCAACTGAGGCTGCACTGGGCGAAGTTCCGTGCCTGGGCGGGGCAGGCGCGATCGCCCAGTTCCTGCTTCTATAAGGGGCGGCCGGTGGCGCCAGCGGCGCGCGGGGGCAGCGGGCAGCGGGCATCGGAGAATGGCCGGGCGCGGGGGAGCCTCTCGGCCGCTGGGCCTGGTCGTGGGGCTGCAGCTGGGGCTGCTGTGCCTGCTCCCGGGCTCCGGCGCCCGCGCAGCGCCGCCGCACCTCGTCTTCGTGCTGGCCGACGACCTGGGCTGGAACGACGTGGGCTTCCACGGCTCCCACATCCGCACGCCGCAGCTGGACGCGCTGGCGGCCGGCGGGGTGCTGCTGGACAACTACTACACGCAGCCCCTGTGCACGCCATCGCGGAGCCAGCTGCTCACCGGGCGCTACCAGGTACGCAGCGCCCCCCGGCGGCCCGGCTCGGGGTCCCGGGAGCGGCCGGCCCGGCGCGGCCCCGAGCTCCGCGCCCCTCCCCGGCCCGGGCCACCCCGCGCGGCCTCTGCGCATGCCCAGCACCCGGGCGCCCTGCGGGCCCGCTTCTCCCCGCCTCCAGCCGGGGAGCATCTCTCTTTCATTTCCTACCAAGCGGGTTCCGAGGGTGTTAGCGGGCCTGCTCGGGTGCCGGGGTCTGCGGGTCGGGTGGGTGAGAACCGAGGACCGGGAGTGGGAGCCTGGGCCACTCCCGGAGCGGCCGGAGCCGGCCCAGCGGGCTGGAGAGTTAAGGCCAGGGGGACCGCAGTGGCCCCTGAACCCATTGTTTCAGCTAGGGTCGAGCCGGCCCCATTGAACCAAAGATTCATCGGGCCGGCTGGCCTGTGGCTACTACAAAGAACTTTCTTTGAGCCTCTGACATCCCTTGTAGATTTCACCTGACTGCAAAGCCAGGGTACCAGCTCGGAGATCTCCACAAACTTCGCGGTGGTTAACAGAGGACACTTGTAAAGAATGTACATATAGATAAGCCAAGAACATTTGCATTGTGCTATATAGATTTTGAAAGTTAATTTGGGGTGAGTGGTCCTCCTAAGCAGGGGTTTCAGGGACCACTCCCAAAATATTCGGCCAGTAGGGCTGGATGCCAGAGGCCACCCCCCACCCCCCACTGTGCTTAAGGGTGGACTCCAGGGCTATAGCTGGTGATTTCCTGCAATTTTCTAAACATTCCTTTGGGTTGCTGTAATTTTTATTTTATTTTTATATTTATTTTAACTTTAGGGCTACATATGGTGGTGCTCAGGGATCACTCCAAGTGGGGCTTGGGGGCCCGGAATTGAACTCCAAGGCAAGTGTCTTACCCGATGTTCTACATCTTAAGGCCAAGGGTAGCTGTTATTTTTAATCTCTTGAGCAGAGAAGAAAATAAAACTGTCGAGATTCCATTATAGATTAGAACTCTCAGCCCTAGATGAGGTCCCCCAGTCCTCTCAGGCTTCAAAGATCAGTCCCCCCTGCCCCCAACCCCATCTGTCTAAGACTGACACCTTTATAAGATCCTGGTGTGACTAGAACTTTACTAAAAATAAATAAAAGGACTGGAGACTCCTGCATGCCTGCGTGGATATGTTCTGATGCTTAACTAGCACATTTTGAACTCTTGCCCTCTCAAAACTGTGTCCCTGTAGCTTGTCAGAAGCTCCCTAGCCTCCTCTTGTCATGAGCTCAGGAGAAGGGAAGGTTTGCTTGCAATAAAGATTTGTAAAGTGATGAGAATTGGGAAGCTAGACCTGCAGGCCCTGAGAGAGAGAGCTGTGGCCAAGGCTTGCAGGGAAGATAAAGGATGTCTCCCTTTACCATTTGCCCAAAGTAATGGTACATTCACTTTCAGCTCCAGCTATGAAGAGCAGCAGCTCTCCTGCTCAGGGGCAAACCCCACCCTGGGAACCTCATAGTGATAAAGTCCAGGCCTGCCCAGCTGGTTCTGCATTTGCTCTGAGGATAGAGAACTGAACTTAAGTTGCAGAAGAATAGGAGGGCCACTTATTTCTCCAACTTCCTCCCTTCAACAGACTTGTTCAGAGACGCAGAACCCACAATTGAAAAGAGTGGCTCCTACAATAGATTGACTTTGCCCATAACATCTTCCTCCATTAGTCACAACATTCAGTCTTAGAGTGATAATTTGAGGAGTTGGAATCCTCTGTGGTTAAGAAATGAAGAAAGGGTAAAAATTAGGTAATGGATCCAGGCATTATAGCTAACAAGTTTCCCCAAAAGATTTACTTGACTTTTATCTTTTTTATTTAGCCTTTGTTTGAGTCTTTCCAAGTTCAGGAGACACAATTGGAAATTGCCGTGGGCTAGCAAGCATTTTTTTTAAAAAAGGAATCACTCATTCTAATAGAACTAAGGGACTTCATTGCGCCTAGGTACTGCATACTGCTATGATTTAGAACACACTTCATGTGTTGACATGAAACGGTAATCACAAGACGGTGGGAGCTGACACAGTGGTTAGGGCACATGTGTGTACCCAATCCATGTTCAATCTCTGGCACTTGCAAAGCCTACTGAGCATCATCAGGTATAGCCCTGAAGGGTCCCCAAGCAGCACAGGGTTGGCCCTGGGGGTCCCTGGTACTGCTTCCTTGGATCCTAGGGATTAGAACACCTACCAGATTGGCTGAGTGGCTCATAGACCCCTGAACACTGCTTGGAGCTTCTTCCTGCCACACACTCAAATATCTCACAGGAGCTGCTTCAGGTTTACAAAATAACTAATCTTGGACATTAGTTCATTACTCAATCTAAAAAGAGTAATTTGAACCAGGAGATGGGTGCGAGGTGTCTGCCTAACTCATGCATAAGTGAGACCCAAATTCAATCACCAGCAATTCCATGTTCTACTACAAGATGCAGGTCTGGGGGCCCTGGAGCAGAGCAGCATCACATTGCTGGGACCTACTTCCCGGATGACCAAGTGGTCAGGTATTGTTGGGAGTGATCTCTGGGCCCTGAGCCCTGTTTAGGAACAAGTATAGGTAAAGGTAAAAGTATAATGCATCACATTTCAAGTTAGGTATGCTTATATTAAATGTAAACTAGGGAGAGGGTTTATCCCGAGTCAGTTGTTTGTTGTGATGATTTCAGATAACACAATGAAGGACTTTGTGGGTTATTTTCATAATTAGTCATTTCTGTGATTTTAGAAACCATGCTTTTTTAAATTTAGAGACAACCCTAATATCCCTTCCCCCCCATTTAAATAAGATCAGAAAAATACAAAATAGTATATAATCCTAAACTGATTAAACTGATTTCCTAAGAAATTCTGAGTTTTGGTTTTCTGTCTTATGAGAATATTTAGTGAAGTGTACTTATTTGGATTTAGGAGATGTAGGTGTTATTTTTGCTGTGTCCATCTTAGCTCTCAACTCCCTGGAGATCATTTTTCTTATCTGGAAAATATGGAGTTTGTGCTGAATAATAAGACTCTTTGTAGCTCCACATTTCTTTGACTAAGACATTCGTGCTCATTACAATAGCTTTCTAACTTGGCAAATGTGCATTATATGCACTAACCCCATCTGCTGATAGAGAGATTAATCTTGCCAAACACTGTTTTGCAAGCTGCAGGAGCTGTTGTTTAAAAACGCTTTTTAAACCTACAGGCTTTTATGAAAAATGCATGGATTTGAGAAAGGGGGAGAGGGAGACTGATAAGAGGATAAGGTAAATAGTAACAGGGAAAATCAAGAACTAGAATTTAGGTCTCTGTACATGCAGGCTACAGCTGTGCTTCCCATAGCCTTATTTAGTATAGCATAAAAATACCTATATTTTATTAATTTCATTCATAGAAAATACATTATGTGGCTTAAAAACTTACCAAAAGGCTTCCATTGAATATCCCTACACACACACACACACACTCTTTGATTTTGATCCTTGGGCATCCAGTTCTCTATATTTGAAGGCAAACAATATTTTCTGAGTTGTATATATCCTCCTGAAAGGATTTTGTGATTATTTTACATTAAACCATAATGTTTATATTATTTTGCACCTCATATTGTGTTTTTTGTTTTGTTTTTACTTAACACTTGAAAACAATATTTTTTCACCAGTCACCTAACGATAAACAAATAGGTTGTTTCTAGTCTTAATGTAGCAAAGGAAGCTTGTACAATTTTGTACATTCCAATTTTACCCATTTTGAATATTTTTATAGAATAAATTCTTCAAGGGTCTATGAATTTGTAATTTTGATTAATTTTTCAAATTGCACTTCCATAGATTGCCAGTAGGATATATTACTTGTTTCCCTATACTCTATTTTTCAGTTACATTTTGCATATCATATAATTCATTTTAAGTTTACAATTCATTGGTCTTATATCTGCAATGTTGTACAGCCATAATCACTGTTTATGGAAATTTCAGAATATTTTCATCATCCCCACAAAGTAACCCCATAATCATTAGGATTCATTCCTCATTATGTTCTTCTTCCAGTCTCTGGGCATGACTAATTTACTTTCTATCTTTATGAATTTGCTTATTATGGGATATTTCATATAAATGGGATTTTTTTTAATCCATGGTGCAATATGTATCATTCCTTTTAATGGTAGAATACTATTCCATTGTGTGGATATAGCATTATTTTCTTGCACAGTTGTTAGTTGATGGTCAATGAGTTCTACTTTTTGGCTTATCAGTATGCTATTGTAAATATGAATTATCTATCTATCTGTCTTTCTATCTATAGCAACTCTGCTAAACATTTTGATGAGCTATCAAACTATTTCTACCAACAATGTATGCAGGTTTCTATTTCTTCATACCCTATCCAAGCTTGATAGTATCTTTATTTTTTTTTAATATAGTCTTCTAGTCATACTAGGGAGAATTAAATAACATCTTGTTATATTTTTAAGTTTCATTTCATAAGCTCCTACTAATAAAGAACATCTTTCCATGTTTTGTTGCTTTTTTGGTATACATATATTCATGCATGTATATGTTTATATATATTTTTGGAAGTCTTGATTTTCATATTTGAGATAAATTTGTTCATTTTGGCAAAAAAAGACAGTTGAAATTCTGATAGATATTTCATTGATGTAAGGCCATTTGGGAAATATTACCATCATACTAATATTATGTTATTTTTTGGTTTTGAGCTGTACTCAGATCTAACTCCTGGCTCTGCACTAGGGATCACTGTTGGTAGGGTTGGGGGACCATAGTGCTGAGGATTGAATCTTAGTATGCTACATGCAGGACAAACACCCTACTTGCTGTACTATCGCTCAAGCCTCCAATATTACTTTCTTAAACTTATGAATATGATATATTTCTGTTTATCTAAATAAACAGTCTCTTTATTTCTTTCAACAGTGTTCAGTAGTTTTCAGCATATGTCTTGTGCTTTTTGGGTTACATTTGTTTCT